TGATTCATCCAAGACCTGATGCCATATTGGCTCTAAATTAGTGTAAGTGAGATGTCTGGGGAGAACAGCAACTTGAGTGCTCAAAATGAAATACATTTTTTATGTCAAATGTGAGTCATAAGAGATGTTCATTCACACTGTATGAAGAGTCTCCATCATGTATAATCTTATATAAATGTCAATATGTGTTGATGAATATGAACAATATGAATCATGAGACTAAAATAAAGTGCCATCCTTTTACTGAGCACAGGTGAATTAAGACAGAAACCAAGGGATGCATACAATACTTATTTGGAAGGATGGGCACAGGCAAAGGCCTGGAAGAAAAATTACACAGCTGCCCTTCACAGTTGCTAATATTTCCATGCCAGGGGTGAAATATCAAAAATGTGGTGGCAGAGATCAGTGAAGCTTCAGCTCTAAGGGGAACATGGGAAATCACAGCTCCTGCTCCAAAGAGCAAGCATTGATTTGTGGTTCAGCTGGTTCTCATAAGAACAACCTAGAAGCTTGGGGGAGACAGGCTCGGAATGCAATCACTTAAAAGCGACTAGTTTTGGTTCATGATCAGTGTCAAAGTCTTTTATTTTTTTGTAAATTAAGTGAAAAATGATGTCAACACAACTATCTTCTCTAGAAAGGGAGCCCCAGGATAAGGTTTCCAGAATGGATCCCAGACTTTTCAGTTTGTCTGCTTCTGTCTCCCTCACAAAGTCCCTGCAGAGCAATTTTTTTTCTTCTGTTAATAGTAACAATTCTGAAGGTGAGTTTAGAATGGGACTACAATACAGTTCTTTTGGCTGTTGTTGTTGTTCATTGTTTAAATCAAAGCTATGAAAACGAAAGAGAGCATTGGAGATTTCCTGGCTTCTGAGACACTGGAACTGTCCCTCAAGAAGGCAGGGAAGACAGCTCCCACATCCCAAGCCATAAAGTCTGAACCAGAATGAAAATGCCAAGAACAGTGATCTTGGATAACTGTACAAATGAAGGAAGGCATGATGGATCATTACAAGTGCAATGGAAGCAGATGCAGAGATCCACAGCTGAGCACTGGGCCGAGCTCCCTGAGTCCAGTCAAAGAGATGGAGAAGGGATTATATGAGCAAAGGGGTCAAGATCATTATGGGGATACCCACAGAGATAGCTGACTCGAACTAGTGGGAGGCTCACTGACTCTGGACTGACAGCTGGGGAACCTGCATAGGATCTAACTAGGCCTTCTGAATGTGGATGACAGTTATGTGACTTGGGCAGTCTATGGGGACCAGAATTTATCCATAGTGCATGAACTGACTTTTGGAGCCCATTCCCTATGGAGGGATACAGAGATACTTTGCTCAACCTAGATACAGGGGGAGGGACTTGGTCCTCCCTCAACTTGATATGCCAGACTTTGTTGACTCTCCATAGGATGCTTTACCCTAAGTAAGAAGTGGGTTGGGAGAAAGGGAGGGGGGGGGGGGGACTGTGGTTGGTATTTAAAATGAAAAAAAGAAACTTAAATAAAAAAAAGTAGAGTTACTTGAAGATTAAGTTTAAATGACCTTGTTTAAACCCAGGATTCAACAAAAAAGGATATTTAGTATATTTAGTATATTTAGTAATTCTTTGGTGGAAGACAAGTAGTCACTTAACTTTGCTAGACTCTATCTCTAGAGATCTGAACTATATCAGATACATGCTGCTCTACACAAAGCCTCGTAGAACATCAACACAGTCCTTGAAAGCCTCTACAATCTCATGGAAGTCACACTCCCATTTGATCCTAAGTTTCTTGTTTGTTGTTTCAAGACATGGTTTCTCTGTGTAGCCCTGGCTGTACTGGAACTATTCCTGTAGACCAGGCTGGCCTTGAACTCACAAAGATCCAACTGCCTCTATCACCCAAGTGCTGGTATTAAAGGTGTAAGCCACCCCTGTCTGGCTTGTTTGTTTGTTTCTATGGTTAACATTGCATCATACATTGTCAGTGTTGCATCAGTGCTTGTAATGACCCCAAGATGTAAGCGTTCTTGTCCTCTGAGAAGCAAATGCACAGAGTCAGAGGAACTTGACTAAATTCTGAGAGGTAGTGAATAGAGCTGGGTTTTCAAGCAATCTAATTCTGGCATTCACACTCTAAGCAACATTGTATCAGTCTTTCACAGGAGTAGCCTTTCTGTGGGACTACACATGAAAATTAATTGATTCACTCATTTTCTTCCTAATCCATAATCACCAAATTTTCCAAGAAAAATGAGGAGGACAACAAAGAGGAAGTAAAATAAAGGACAATGAGTGCACATGTGGTAAAAGCATGATCAAGCATGTTCTAAGAACCAAGACTGAAACTGGAGTGAAAAATGTTTCCATTGGCAAGGTCTACAAGTCTTCTCCCAGTCTTACAAATGATGAAATGATAGGTATTCTTGCCTAACGGCAGCTGTCTATCACAGAAGGTAAGGAATAGAGCAAAACCTGATTCTGCTTAGCCAGGCATGCTTTCCAGAAAGCTTGGTGGTACAGAGTTGCTTTTTGTCTAAATAACAAAAGGATGGCTTCCACAGGCTGCCCTTCTCCCCAGTTCTGAAGATTCGTAGAGTGTACTTAAGCAAGGCGTGGGAGGATCATGCCTCCCTTAGAAGGCTGGAAGAACTGGGTTTTCACGAAGGTCACCTTCATGCTAAGTCTCAGCATTGCTCACATTTCTGAGAGTCAGAAATGTGTTCCAAAATGTCAGAAGCTGTAACTGTAAAGAAATAAGACATTGGAAGGAAGTGGGGGGAAAATCCCTTCAGACAGTCCATAAATAAATAATGACTTTTCGCTTTGAGATTAGGGGTCAGGAACAAGGGTGTTTCTTAGCTCTCTGAACCTAGGCGGGGCTGGGAAAATCAAGTTTCAATTCAAGTGGTAAATAAATAATAAGGACTGGATGGTACTTGAAGTTTCAGTTCTAATTACAAATCCTGCTTATCAAAGGTGAATAAATAAGGATCTTCACAGATTCAGGTTTGCTTTGCAGAAGTTGTCCAATATGGAGCAAGGGTGAGACTGCCACTGTGAAGTCAGGGAAGGGCAACTGAGCAACCTGGGCCTCTACATGGCTTGAGCCACACATACCACTTTCCTAACAATACATCCAGTAGCACAGGAGACCCCACCACCACATCAATCTGCATGTACCCCCTGCTATAACAATCAAGTAACTTGCTCTTTGACCATCCTATACCAATATCCAATTGAACATGTTTTAAGATATAGTAAGTAATGAGGGAGGAAGAGAAATAAGCCATTGTACTAGCTGGTTTTGTGTGTCAACTTGACACAAACTAGAGTCATCTGAGAGAAAGGAGCCTCAGTTGAGAAAATACAGACATGAGATCCAACTATAAGGCATTTTCTCAATTAATGATGAATGGGGGAGGGTACAGCCCATGGTGTGTGGGGTCATCCCTAGGCTGGTAGTCTTTGGTTCTGTAAGATAGCAAGCTGAGCAAGTCATGGGGAGCAAGCCAGTAAGCAGCAGCCCTCCATGGCCTCTGCATCAGCTCCTGCTTCCAGGTACCTCCCCTGTTTGAATTCCTGTTCCGGCTTCCTTCGGTGGTGAACAGCCATGTGGAAGTGTAAACTGAATAAGCCCCTTCCTCCCCAATTTGCTTTTGGTCATGGTGTTTTATTGCAGCAATAGAAACCCTATCTAAAACAGCCAGGTACTTCCCTGGTTTGGGATTCCTATACATTAGGGTAACTATGTTCTCTGAGTGAGAGGTAAAATAGTCTATTTGCTATCTAATGCTTGTGAAAAATTGCACATGCGTGTGATTAAAATCAGATGCACTATGGGAAACAACATAGTAAACAAGAGCTTACATCACTCAATCCTATAAATCAAAACAGAAAGACTCTCCTTTTAGCAATCAACCTTTTCTCCTGAACTGCGTAAAAGGGAATCCACAAACCATAACTGGGGCTCCTGCACACTCTAGCTGCAGAAGACTGCTGCTTCTTTGCAGTGAGTCCTCTACTGTCTTTAAATGAAACTGTTTTGCCATTGTTTGTACTTTTTCAATTAGCTTAATGAGATGCCAAGAACCCAGAAACACTTATTGCCAACAGTGCCCACCAGCAGGACTCTCCCATTTACACCAGGCAAGCAGTGTGCCCTACAGTATTCCCTGATGTGGTACCAATAAGACAAAAAAAGACTTTTTACAATGTTGAGAAGAGAGGCTGAGGAGATGTTTCAGTGGTTAAGAGCACTTGCTGCTCTTCCAGAAGACCCAGGTTTGATTAGCAGCACCAACATGGTGGTTCACAGAAATCAGCAATAGAATTCAAGAGGATCCTGTGCCTTCTTCTAGCCCCTGCTGTCAATGCACACATACAGTGCATATACATCCATGCAGGAAAAACATGTATACACATAAAATAAACATTTTAAACATGTCAAAAAGAGACTGCATATTTCATTATGTTGGCAAAATCTTGTATTTAGTCAGTGCTCTTTTTTGGTTTCTTTTCAAGACAGGGTTTCTCTGTGTAGCCCTGGCTGTCCTGGAACTAGCTCTGTAGACAAGTCTGGCCTGGAACTCACAGAAATCCACCTGCCTCTGCCTCCCAAGAGCTGAGACTAAAGGCGTGTGCCACCTCTGCACAAATATCCAGTGCTCTTGTACTTTAGGCACCCATTGTCCCCTTCATGATTATTTCCCTTTTCCACTATCAATTTTATATCTCAGCTCAATAATACCATTTTTACCTACCTTATATTTTTTCTTTAAGCTCATTTGTTTTCTAAACTGAAAAAAATTGAACAAAAGACTTGATTTCTCTAATATGCAGGAGGGAATTTGCCTTCATGAGATGCAGACTATGAAAGGATACAGTAACAAAAGCATCTCAGTTGCGTGGTGGATACTATTACCTGATAAATGCTGTACATTCAAATTAGCTCTTTCTTTCACTGAAAGATGTTAAGAAAATTAGTATTAAAACAACAGATAGTTTCCTGGAAGAGGGATAGTAATGGAAGAAAATGAAGTAAAGAATGACCTTCTCATTGTGTTATCTCAATGTTATTTAAGAGTCTATTATTGATTATTACATTGTTATAAAGTTTTCTATCTCACCTCTCCTATACACAGATGAAATTTATATATAATAAATGTGTGTATATACATACATATGTCAACTGAATCAAGCTATGGTAACAAATGTGTTATGAATACCTGCCATATAGATGACTGCAAGCAAATCCTTTACTTACCATGTTCGTCAAGTAAAATATTGTCAGGCTTCATATCCCTAGGAGAGGAAATAAGGAAAAGATAGAATTGTTCATAATAAAGCAAACAGAGGCATATGATGAAAACAAAAATGCTCAATAGATCCTATTTAGGGTTGTAACCTTGTGCTAGCATTTCATCCCATTATCACAGAATCTGAGACAGTTATCACTAACTGTGTAAATTAGAAAACTAATGATTCATTTGAGGTCACAGACCAATGAAATAATTGGGTTCTGAACCTGGGTTTGTCTCATTCACAAAGACTGTTAATTGCTATAGCATGAAAGTATTGGTCAATAGGGATTTTTTGGAACATTTACATTGACTTAAGTAGCAAGAGTAATATTAGCCATTATCTTCCTGTGAAACCCCAGTTACACATGGTTTAAAGCCATTAGTTGCTTAATCACTGTACTTGGGTAATAAAAGGGAAAGTCTTTTATGAGTTAGTGTATAACAATGCAACTATAATTACTATATATTACATTGTATTTTAGAAATTTGCTAAGCTGGTAAGTTTCTGACATGGTCAAATCCAAGCTCAAAAGGTACTTTCATAAGAAGGTAATGGCAATCTGTTTGATAGTAATATTCATTTTATTATGTATATATTTTTCAATACATAATATTATATACCTTTAAAACATACCTTTGTTATTAGATATGAAAAATAAACTAAAAAGATGGTAAGACAAAGGAAAACCCACTCTCTCCCAATGAAAGGAGTTTTGTTATGGCATATGTGAAGAATAATGGTGACAGTGTTTTCCATATTCTCATGAAATGATTACACTGGGCAATTCTCCTCAATCAGAGATGAGCTCTATAGTTTATAACAACCCAAAATTATTTAGGCTAAGATTTTCACAACCCTTCCCTAATGTGCCATTAAAATGCTTCATACTAGATTCACAAAAGCCATTAGGAAAGAAATTTCTAAAATGGGCTTGGGAACACATTATTAACTTGGTCAAGTGGCTTTTATGTTGTCAGAACAAAAAATGACCTTATCTTTTGACAGACAAAGGCTGGACTTCATCTTTTTTGACAAAATTAATAAAGTTACAAACGGATGTCAGGGCATGCTACATCCAGCATTTAGCTGGCATGAATTAACTTGTGAATCCTGAAAATTTCCTTTTGTGCTTTAGTCTGTTAAAATCATTCTGGATCCATAAGGGGATCACCTTTCTCTGTGGCAGGATTCTTTTCTGTGTTTCTTGGTTCAATTTGCTAGAAAGATAGTGTAACAGGACTTCAAATTGCTGGTTTCTGTGGCAAAGCACTCTTGTAATATTGCAGAGCTGTCTTCAAACCCTTTGTCTGAAGAATTATCAAGTCCAAACTCACACACGTCATAGAAGACATTGCATTACCCTGTTCTGTGCTTTAGCTCTGTGTACATAGGTAGGATCTACTAACATATTCCCTGAAAACTTGTGCCTGCTTATTACTATACTGGTTGCTCTTTAGCCTGCATCAGACCCTCTCACCACCACTCTGAGACACAGCGGATTCACCCTGAGCATCAGAGATTTCACTTTCTGCAAGAAATCTTCGATGACTTTCCAATGCTGAACCAAATGTTTTGATGTGCTTTTGACTTCCCTGTAATATGTGCCACACTCATGTGCACATAGTGCACACTTGGGCTCATGACCTCCTTGATGTCAGGGATGGTTTCTTGGACAGCACAGAGTCTCAGTTTGTGGTGTTCTCTAAAGGAGACTGAGGGAAATTTATAGCACCTAGGAAGGTGGATCCAACAGTACAGGCCACTTGCTTCTGTTCACTACCAAAACTCTCTGTAGCAGGAAGCTGGGAGTAATCCAGATGTCAGGCTCTTTTTGCCATTTTCAGATTGTATCCAGTTTGTATCATTGTTTTCCAGGAAAGCATGAGGCTCAGGCAGGAAAAAAATTGGGTTTGGCAAGACTAATATCATTATCGCTTTGCCTGTATTTATGAGGGCTCATGACAGAAATGAATCATAACAGACTTCATATTTTGTGAGTTCACTATTAAGTTCTTGAGTGTCTTGGTTGATTCTTTTTGGTCTCTCTTATCTTTTCTGTCCACTAGGTTTCCCAGAATCCATCTTGAAACTTAGAGAATAATACAGAAACTCACAGAGATGAATAATTGATTGATTATGCTTTCTTGCTTCAATCTTATGTTTATTTCCTCTCCTCATGTTTATCTACTTAGGTAAACCACTGTGTTCAGATGACAGGGAGAGGAATAAGATGTTGTTCTCCCAGGGGTGAGGAGGATGAGAAAAATACATAAGGAACCAAACCAGAAAGATATGAAATGGTAAAGGGACTTGCTTGTCACAACATCAATGAGAGAATATGAGAAGTGTAATAAAGTGTGGATTTTTAAGCATTGTAATAAGTTACACAAGCTTAGAATCTAACTACACAGTTTCTTCAAACTATAAAAAGCTAACTTCTAAGTCAGTACAGGGAAAATTGCAGTATGATAAAATGGTTTATTCGTACACCAGAACAAAGAAACTGAAAAGAAACTCAGAGTTATGTTAAAACTCCTACTAGAACAAGTTGAGTTTTCTAGTTCTGAATCTCAGCTCCATTTCCTTTCTTCGGAAACACTCCAGTAACCTAAATTAATTCAGAAAAAGAATCCACTTTTTCTAAGATGATTACTGATAGCTATTTAACTTAGTGTCAACACAACTGCATATTTGAGGATCCTCTCAGGAGCTTGGAGCAGGAAGACTTTCTGCTGCAGTTCAGACCTAAGCCATCAGACTCCATGTCTGTCCAGAGCTATTCTGAGGAATAGCCACATTCAGAAGGCTCATCAAGAAAGCAACAACAACCAACAGATGCTGTTGAGGGAGCAAAGGAACTGTGCATGCTGTTGGGAGAACATATGTGAGTCTCGCCACTGTAGAAATTAGCATTGAGGTTCTAAAGACCAAGACTGAAGACACAGCCATGCTCTCCATACAACAGGATGGAGATAACATAGAGGGTTCATAGCCAACTAAGTGTCAGTGTGTGACACTTGCCTACTCTTAGCTCACTTCACATTCTGATCATCCCTAAAACTCCTCACCTCTTGCTTCCTCTCAGTAGATGACCTTATACTGCCACTTCACCAAGATCAGAGAACCTTGTGAACCCACCTACCTTGTGATTCACCATTGGCTATGGCATACCAGCTCTTCTGTGGGACTTGGAGTCCTGTCCTCTCTCCTTTCATACACTGCCTTGGTAAATGCCCTTGAACGCCACATCAACTCTTCCTTCTCCTCTATGCAAATATGTTACCACCGAATCTCGAAGAAGCCACCTCCTCCTACTGGTACAGCTTACTCTTTCTTTAATGATGACACTCCTGAATTGAATGCTGACAGGTGGAATTAGGAATGGCATCTGCTCTTTTTATCTCAGATCACTAATTTCTATCTCCTTGGGTCCCTGAGGTTACTCTGTCAGACACATCTATCCCTGTGCCAAATTCAATCATCATGCAGTTACTCATGCTCTGGTCCTTGCTGGGAGGGGGTGTAGATCACTCTTCCCTCATGACTCGCTTAGTTTCCATGGCTTAGAAAAAAACTCATTTAATGGGTTTCTTCTATCACAGAGATTCCTCAGCCTCCTTTCCTAGAAGCTTCTTGGTCGAATCTCTGAATGTTGGGCTCTATCAAGGTTTAAGTCTATGCAGAACTCCATCCCACTAAATGACTGCATTTAGTCTTATGATTTTAAGTAGTATTTACATGCCAAATGATAATGCATATGAAGCACGCTTCTAGTCCTTACCCTGGAATTACAGAGAAGTACACAAAATTGCCTATCTGGTGGTATCATCTGTTTAAGATACGCGAAAAACGCACACTTCCCTGAACAGGGCCTTTCTTTCTATCAATAACCTTCACCCACAGAATGCCAAAATGATCCCAGAATTCCCTACTCCAGGATCTGTTCCCATAGTTCTCCCATTTTAAAAGTGAAAATCTTGAACTATGAAGTTTCCTTTTTGAATTCCTAACATCAATTGCCTAGCAACTCCTGATAACTCTACCTTTAAAACAAAATTGTTGGAAATAGCTAGGGAATATCCCAGAATATGAAGTATGAAAATATCACATGCTACAGCTACTTCATTTCTTAGGTGTTTAGCCCAGAGGTTTGAGTGGAAATTTGCATAGGGATTTGTGTGACCATGCCCAAAGCACTGTATTATTCACAACAGCTAAAAGGCAGAAGCAACCCAGGTGTCTATAAATACATGAAAAAGACAAAATATGTTTACAATGGAGTACTGTTCTCCTAAAAAAGGATGGAATTCTTATAAATGCATTAACGAACATATTGAAGTCTAGAAGACATTGTGTTGAGTGAAATAGATCAGACACAAAGGAGCTGTTGTTGTATGATTTCAGTTATATGAGGTATGTAGAGGAGTCAAATGCACATAAACGGAGGACATGAAAGTGGTTCTTGTGAGCTGGAATAGACACAGAATGATAGGTTATCATTTAAAGGTACAGAACTCCAATTCGGGTCAAGGAGAAAGCTCTGAGAATGTGAGGTAGCTATGGCTTCAACCATGTTCAACTATTCACTGTATTTTGTCACTTAAAATGATCCAGTTTTATATCTTATATAATTTAAACATCAATAGATGTATTAGTAACACAACCAACATCTGCTGTTGCAAAAGCACTTCTTATCAGATACTGCAGCGGTACCTTTTTCTTGCCTCCCCCTTTTCTCTTGAATATCCATTATCTTCTTATCATCTGGCAAGGAGTATCATACTCTACGTGTCTTCCCTGCTTGAACTCCCACTGGCTTTCACCCCACAGGGGAATAAGAGTGACACCATTTCTGCTGCCCAGTAGACACAGTAGTGTGCAGGCACAGGTCAAACTCCACCACATGTCTTGCTTTCCCCAGCTGCTGAGCCTGCTTATACATCTTTCCCAGATAGCCCATTATGTTAACAGACCTGATCTCTGCCCACTTCCATGGCTGG